AATCTGCTTCTCAATAGAACCAACTGGATTGGCACTTCTGATCAAGAAATAGACACAATCCCCTAAGAAGCTCAGCCATACATGAAGCAAAAATGAAATTTTCCCACTCAAATCCTTTAAACTTAAATTAACATTTGGTATTCCAGCTTTTCCTTCTCTGTATTTAGTTTAGTTGAACGTCAATTGTAGTATTTGTTTATTTAATTTGTGTTCATTTAAAGTCAAAGAGAATTGAATTTCAGATGAGAGGTGTGGATTCAAATCGGAGCTCCAATATTCCCTAATTGTGTGACATTATGGAAAACACTTGTCCCATCCTTTCCCTACCATCATGCTTAGTTTCTTCATATCCAAAATGGGAATGGCTGTTGTCCTTCATACTTGAAGAGGATCAAAATGACATCACTATGCCAGTGTATCTGACTGTGGCAGATCAGACCAATATGAGCTCAGAAGTCTGGCTCTACCACAAATTGGGCACAAATAATCCACATGAACATTTGGAATGGAAATGACTCTAAATTTGTGCATCTTATGTTTCTTTTGAGCTACTGCAATTCTACTTTGCTCATGGAACAAAGCATATTTTTTGATGTGGGTGTGCCTTTCTGGGCAGTCTTTTGCCAGTCTCCCAATCAATTCCAAAGTTTTTTCAGATAGACCTGGAGAGTGTTCTTGTATCACTTCTTCTGACCTCCACGGGAGCTCTTACCTTGTAAGACTTCTCCATAAAATGGTCTTTTAGGCAAATGTACATTTGGCATTTGAACAATGTGGCTGGTCTATAAGAGTTGTGCTTTTTGCAGTAGGGTTTGAATGCTTGGCAGGTCAGCTTGAGAAAAGATCTGAGTGTCCAGTACCTTATCTTGCCAGGTGATCTTCAGAATCTTCCTAAACTGATTCAAGTGGAAGCAAATTCAATTTCCTCGCATGGCACTAGTATACTGTCCAGGCTTCACAGGTATACAACACTGAAGTTAGCACAATGGCTTTTTAGACCTTAAGTTTGGTAGGAAGCCTAATACCTCCTCCCTCACACTTTTATTATGAGCCTCCCAAACACTGAGCTAGCTCTGGCAATATGTGTATCAGCCTCGTCATTCACCTGTATGTCCCTGTAAATGTAAGTGAACTTATCCACAGCATTCAAATTTTCTCCATTTGCTGTAACTGGTGGTTCCATTTATAGATGATGTGGTGCTGGCTGGTGAAGAATCTCTGTTTTCTTGGTGTTGATTGTCAGGCCAAAATGAGCACAAATGGCAGAAAAACACAGGAGCAGATACCCAGTCCTGCTTCACTCCATTGGTGACTAGGAAAAGCATGAGAGCATTATCCATTCTCCAGAACCTGTGCAAGCATGACATCATGGAACTGGCATACACTACTAATGAACTTTTCTGGATGACCAAATTTTGCCATGATCTTCCATAAGCCCTCATGACTGAAAGTATCAAAAGCTTTGGTAATATTGATGAACTTTGTGTATAAACTTCCGTTCTGCTCCTAGCATTTCTCCCAAAGGTTTTTGGCAGGAAATACCACATTAGCCATTCCTTGGCTCTTTCTGAAGCCAGATTGATTGTCTGGTAGATGACCATCTTCCAGGTGTAGGAGCAGCCAAATAAGGAGGATTCTGGCAAGAATCTTGCCAGTAATGACTAAGAGAAAGATTCCCTCCACTGTGATCATCACAGGAAAACCTATTTCCTTTTCCCTCATAGAGATGGACAATAGAGGCATCCTTGAACTCCTGGGGGATAACCAACTCTTGTCATATAACCCAGAAGATTTCAGTCAGCTTTTGTATGAATAGTGGACCCCCTGCCTTGTAAATCCCTCAAATCATGGCATCATCTTCCTGTTGTCATGGTTCTCTTCAAGAATGAAGGACAAACAACAACAACAACAACAACAACCTGTATGCCTTCAGGGCATCATAAAAGTTCTTTGGATGGTTACTATCAGTGTAAAACTGAATTTCATCTGCCTTCTTACTGAGCCAAGAATACTGCATCTCTCTAAGCTTTGGTTGCACTTTACTCTTTTTAGTGCCTTCTTTAGAGACAGAAGAACTATCCCTCTGTTTGATCCTGTGGAGTTCTTGTTTTTCATTTAGTAACTTCTGAATTTCCCCATCATTTTCATCAAGCCAGTCCTGACATCCACTAGTACTCTGGCCCAGATGGGTAAATGTGGTACTATACACCAAATCTCAGAAAGCTGCCCACTCTTTTAATGCTCCATGTTGCTAACCATATGTTGGCTCAGCTTTCCCTCCAAGTTAGTAATGTGTTCATGTATGGAGAAGCACTCTAATCTTGACATTAAGTTTTCTAGTAGTCATCTTGTCTTGAGGCTGCCACTTTTGCTGAATGCAAATGTTTAGTTGGGAGATGGTAAGTCTGTGATCTGTCCAGCACTGTGCCACATATCACCTCTACCATTTTCACATCCATCTGTCTCTTCTCCTCATAATGACATAATCTATTAAATGCCAGTGTTTGACACAAGGGTGCATCCTTGAAGTTTTATTGCATTTAGGTGAACAGAAGACAGATGAAGAGGTCATGAGACACACAAGTCTTCAGTGTAAGTGAGCATTGCTGTTGCTTTTTCTGACTCCACTCTTCCCAAGGACTCCCTACCTTGTCTGATAGTTTCTGCCTACTCTGGCCTTAAAGTCACCCAGAATTACAGTGTTGTCCTCTTTCAGCACATTGCTGATGAGGGTCTCCAGTGCTTCATAAAATTTTTCTTTGACCTCATCAGGGTTCATCATTATGAGAGCATATGCACTGATGATGGTGACGTTGCACTTTCCTGCAAGTGAAATCACATTATCATGAACCTGTCATTTACTCCTTTGGGAGGCATATTAGCTTGTTGACTAGATTAGATTTGATTGTGAAACCTATGCTAGTTTCATAGCACTTCTCATCATGGCAACCACTCCAGAAAAACACGTATCCAGCTTTGACTTTGGTAAACTGGATTTCATTTGCCAGCTTTGTTTCACTCAGATCTGCTATTTGGTTGTGATACCTGCTGAGTTCTCTTGAAACAAGACCTATTCATCTTTCAGGTCTACTGGATTTTGTGTTGTCCATAAGCATTCTCGATTCCATGTATCGATAGTGAGTAGAATCATCTTTACAAAAATTTTTGTACTTTTTTTCATGTTTCAACCACAGGGTAGGATCCTTATCTGCTGCAATAAGCAGACCAGGGTTAGGTTAGATGAAGCAGATAATTTTTAGGACCCTTTTCCAGCCCCTTCCTTACATCAGGAGGTGAGCAGTGCGTACCTTTAAAAAGGCTGCTCAGACACTCAGGGGGCTGCCAGATCCCACTACTGCTTCAGTCCAGTGAGAATACAACCCTATGTTCTGGGCTGCCCATATGCAGAGTTGTGACTACAGCTCCCAGTCTATCCATACCTGCTGCTTCATCATTTGTCTGCCCCATAGGACTTCAAGGTAGGTAAAAATGGTAAAATGGTATGGGTGATGTCTTTTGACTCGAACATAAATTGGATTTAAGGGAGGCAGAGTTGCACAATGTCATCAGTCTCACTATCTCCAAGAATCACTGGAGTCTAGTGACAAGACAAAATCAAGATGACTGGTGATGGCTCAGGATACAGTGGATGACCTTGGCATTGTTGATGTCTAATGAAGCTCTAAGCACTCCACAGCACCTGCTTCCACCTTCATGGCCCATTGGAACAAATTGTTCTCATCCTCCCATTCTACCAGTGAAGTCTTCAAAGTCTTCACATCCTTGGGGTAGACATCCCCTTAACTCACCAACAGGTTTGAAGCCCATCAGTTACCCTCAACTTTGTTTAGCCTATCTGCCAAAATGGTTTTAGCAGGGTATGGCTGCTATGCATGCTACAGCTTCTTGAAAGTTGGGTGGCAAGTAGAGGTAGAAAGTGGCCGTGAAAAGGGCTTGGTAGCCCTCATACCAGAGGCTTCCCTTAACACCTTGTATAGCCCAGAATGGGAATAATAATACAACCAATGCCTACTTCACCGGGTCATTGTGACGAAAGCATTTTGGATACCTCAAAGTGCTATGTAAATGTGAGTTAATACTATTAATCCATGTAGCAGTTTTTACATTGTTACAGCTTAAGTCCAAGTCTATAGTTTTATAAAATTAAAAATTGAAAAGTGCAAATGAGAAGTTATTATTTAGTATCTCTATTTTAAGTGTACAAATTGATACTCATGCTTCCTATGAAGAAAGGTATAATTGCTTGTGTCTAGTCAGGCTTTACCTTAATTTGTCATTCTAATAAACATGCAGAACATTTAGGAAACTGAAACTCCCTACCACTACAGTAGTTGAGTATGTGAGCTTTATAACCTTCACTCTCTCTTAGCCTCCCAACAACCCACCACTGTTTTATTAACACTTTAGTGTCTCCTTCTGCCTCCTCCTATTCACTCATAACCAGGAAGGAAATAGAGATAATCCAAAGTATTACAGAAATATGAGGCATTTGTGGGTCCCACAAAACATTTGAAAATTTCACAAGCCTGAATTTGAAGATTGTGTCCCCTGTGAAACTGTCTCTGGTGGCTTTGTCCTTCACTATAATACATTTAACTTGGCATCATAAAATACCTAGGTGCCATGGAAGGCAAAATTTTCTGGAATTAAAAATGTATACTTATGAAAAGCAGTATTAAAAAGCATTTCTCCTTCCACTTCCCCTTCATGTTATACTCCTGACAACTTCCTCAGTTATCTGCTCCTACTTTGATCTAACAGTTCTTGATATAGTGCTTCACTAGTTCTATCTTCCTATGTCCATCCTCAATTTACATTGCTGAACAATATATACCCTCTTTAAAAATTTAAAATGAGATTTAACGATGGATAATACAATTTTGATCATCTCTTCAGCACATTTTGATGTAATAGGCCTAAGAAATTAAAAGAATAATGCTCTTGAATAATGTATTACAGTAACGGACTGCTCTTTTTAGGCAATTGCTTGGTATACTCCTATCCATTGGAAACGAGCTTGGGAGGGATTTGACACTGACAAAAAATATACCAGAAGCCCACTGGCAATTTCGTCACCTGGAGTACAGATGAATCGGGCACCATCTACAGTAATCAAAATAAAACAAGATCAACAAACCACAACAAAACTGGAGGAGCAAGTTCATGTTTTTCTTAAGAGGTACTTACTCAAATTTATCTTGTTCAGAATGGTTAACTAAGTACTACCCAAGGATCAGGTGACAAGATGGTAGCAGATAGAGAAATAGACCAGTGGAGATAAGAAATAACATGAACTATTGCTCCAAATTTGAAAAGGATCCGTGTTGTAAAGTGCTATATAAATGTGAATTACTATTATTAATCTACGTAACAGCTTTTACTATATTATAGATGTTTACACTGTTATGTGTTGCAAGCAAAAAAAAATATTTTTAGGGGGGTTTCCAACAGCAGGCACAAATGTAAGGAGAGTTGGTATCAAAGTGTTTATGTCATACAATGTACCCAAACTTTTTGGCTCTTTCATTGCTCATTAGCACCTCCACAGAGGCAGCTAGATGACTCAGTTCATAGAGTTCTGGGCCTCGAGTCAGAAAGACTTGACTCTGGCCTCTGACACTTACTAGCTGTGTGACCCTGACCAAGTCATTTAACCTGTTTGCCCTGGAGGCACCTAGGTAGCTCAGTGAATAGAGCCTAGGGTTCTAGGGCCTAGAGTTAGGAAAGACCTGAGTTCAAATCTGGTTTTAGACACTTACTGGCAGTGTGACTTTGGGCAAGTCATTTAACCTGTGTTTGCCTTAATCTACTGGAGAAGGAGCTAGCAAACCATTCCAATATCATTGCTTAAAAAAAAAAAATCCTGAACAGTATTGGCATGCTATGGGCCACGGGGTCATGAAGAGTCAAAACATAATTGAATGACAGAACAACAACAAAGAGGTAAGGTACTGAAGCTGTAAAGAGGTGAAGCACTCAAGAAGCACATGTCATACCTAACGCTGAGTACTCAAATTCATACTATAATTGGGCAGGTGGAGGGAACAAACTGCTGAAATGAGTGTGCTAGGAGATGCGTATTTTAACACGGATCTTGTTTTTATATCTGTACATAACATTCACATCAGGTATACCTCTTTAATTCTTACAGATAAGTGGATCTTAGAGACAGGATCGTTTTCTTTCGATCTGAAATGCAATTTTAATTATCACAATCTTAACCAATTTGCATAGTTTCTGTCTACCTACTCTTTAGTTTTTTGTCTGTTATAAAAACATAATTTTGATTTTCATTTTTCTTTTACAGAGAAAAAGAAATCCCACCAACTCTTTTCCCCAATCGCAACCCATGGGGCCTCAGTTGCAATTGTCCTGTACATCCCAACTATTCATTGTTCAGACCGATTACTGTGGGCAATGATGGGATCACGTTGTGCAGACAGTCAAGGTTACAATCAGCTAGACCTGACCCAATACCAGGTGAGTCAAGAACCAGTTATTATCAAAAGGGAAAAGGAGGGACAGTACGAATAAGTTTCTACTGAAATATATAATCTCCAAGAGGAAGAGTTGAATAACCACCCATTCTCATTTTGTGGCCATCCAGTGTGCCATAATAAGGTCATATTGATATTAATTTACTTTAGTACAGTCCCCTGCTTCCTAACTAGTATCAGTGCATCCAGTCTCTCATCTCTGCTTGATCCTCCACACCATTATCAAAGTGGTATTTACATCTACAGCAAGATCAAACCAAAAACCTCCAATTAAGGAGGGCACCCAGGTCAGCCATCTCTCTGTTTCCCACCCAGCTGCACTCCTCTGGACTTCTCCAAGGCCCCAGGAGCTTCTTCACTTACAAGATCACATCTGCCCTGGTCTTACATATCATGAGTACCTTCTAACCCTGGAGACTCTCTGATTGGAGGGCGGAGTGGAGAGCTCCCAAGACCTCCATTTAAGGAAGGTGCCTAAGCCGGCTGTTTCCCACTGCCCACCTAGCTGCACTCCCTAGGATTTCTCCATCATGCCCCTGTGTTGGGTACCATCTCTCCCCGTCCCCATTTTTAGCTTTCTTTGGCAAGTTGTATTGATTGTGATTGTAAGCTCCTTGATAGCAGGGGCTGTATTTCTTTTTCATACTTTTATCCCTAGCACTTAGCACAGTACCTGGCACCCAGGCCCTTAAGCAGTATTTGTTGACCGATTAACCACATCACTCTCTGTTTAAGAAGCCTCAGTGGATCCCCACCTTTCAGACAGCTACTGTTCTAGCTTATCAACTTTACTCCCATCATGTATTCTGCACTTCAGCCAGATCAGCCTACTTGCTGTTCCCTGTACTTGATATGATATTGCCCACCTTTGTGCCTTTGCTCAGGCTGTCACTGATGCCTGGCATGCTCTTTCTCCTTGCCTGTACCCCTTGGGATTCCTTGCTCCCTTCTAGACTTAGCTCTAGTGCCACCTCCTTCAACAAGCCATTCTTCCTGATTCTCACAGTTGTCATTCCATTCTACCCACCTCCATCAATTTGTAGTTATTTTGTATTTGTCCTGTATTTCCTGCTCTGGGAACATTCCCATAGAATGTAATCATGTATCATTCCCATAGAATGTAAATTCCTTGAGAGCAAGGACTTTTTTTTAATTTATAGCCACAGCACTTAGTATACAGAAAGTGATTAACAGTTGCTTGTTCATTTGTTGTACATAGTAAGAACTCAAGAAATATTTGAATAAATGAATGAAAAAAAGACAATATCTAGCAGGTGTGTGGTTGGGTTGTCTTATAAATTATTATTTTGTAAGATTGATCTTGAGCCTGAGCCAAAAGTGTATTTTTTCTTGGTCACTAGGGTAGAGAAACTATCCTTTTAGGTTTTACTGTGGTGAAAAGCCATCGATCCCAGCTGCTCAACAGAAAGATATTAACTTAAATCTTCTCACAAAAGCAACAAGGGCCTATCCTGATCTTCAAAGTCACAGCTAATCTATGGTCTAGCTTAGGAGCCTTCTCACTCCATCATTGTCTGCACAGATGATGTCGCCATGTTGCAGGCTCATGTACAGCCTTCTAGGAAATACAATTCAGTGAATTCCTGCCATTGAGTAAGGCTCTCTTGTGGCAAAGAGTCCACAAACATGTCTCTACATAGAGAATGGTAGAAGAAACTGGAAATGTTGCCAAAATAGAGAGAAGAGATATGCTGTCTTCAAATATTTGAAGGGCTGGTATTTGGAAGAAGGATTAGACTTTTCCTAATATCTCAGAAGAATAGAACTAGATCTAGTAGATACTATTAGAGACTAATGGAGTCTGGTTCAATTAAGAAAAAAACTTTGAAAAAATATTAGTCAAGCATGAAAATCAACAAACCTGTGGGGCAGCAATTTTCTTATCAATGAAAGTGTTCGTTCAGAATCTGGATGACCACTTGTCAGAGGAAGAATGTATTTCTTCACAGGGTCAGGGACTGGACTAAATGGTCTTTGAGATCTCTTCTGTCTCTACAATCTCTAATTCTATAATGATAGTCAATGAGAAATCGAGGTTTTGAGTGTGGAATTTCCTTTATGGACATCTTTTCAGAAATGCACCTATTTTGTAGAGTCATGAATATCTGCACCAAGAGTTCTATAAATTTATCCTGACATTATTAGGAACTCGTTACTGCTGGGAACACATTTCTTGTAGTATTCACTAAATTGGGCATCAGAAACTTGCCCCCAAAATATCAAGGAGGGAAAAGGATTATTAAAGGGGATAGTCAGCAATATAATTTACATTACACAAGTCAATCTCAAAGTCAAGACTTTAAACAGCATGGTATGATCACCTAGAAAAGGCCAATTACTTGGATCATTTACAGCCAGACTGAACAAAATACAATGACTTGACACTGATACACTGAACAGAATGCTCTATTTTCTGTAATTACATTTGCTACACTAAAAAAAAAATTAACAAAAAAAATTCAGCACAAATGAAACATAAAATTTCTCATCTGTTCCTTGACTAAGATCACATGTTCTTGGATAATAACTGTGGGATTTCGCCTCTAGTGTTTATAAGGAATTTAGGTTAAAATACCTCATATTCCTAAGGATTATTTTCAGCAATGGATAGACAAGTGAAAATCATTTTTATGTCTTTTCTTACAACTGAAGTAATAGAACATTTTTGAATATTTATGTTTAATTTCAGGGTATTAGTTCTAAGAATAAAGTGATAATGTGAGTGATCACTTCACTATAGTGAATTATATTATACTGTTTAAACCTCATTTTTAGAAATATATACAATTAGTCATCCCCTTTCTTCACTAGGTAAAAATGTTATTTCAGTAAATCGTCAGGTTCAGATCAAGTCACATAGGTCCTAAATGTTTTAGACTCAGATTACCTGAGAAAATCTTTCTTTTGTCTCACAAAAACTAAGGCAGGTTTCACAACTACTACTGATAATCCTACTACTAAATTTCAAGAAATTGTAGTTAGCAGTTTTCTATAAATGTTTCTTAGCTCCAGAATGTATTTGTCTCTTGAACAGCTTTAGTTTATGTGTTTTTTTGTGGGGGTTGGGGGTGGCAGTCAGGGTTAAGTGACTTGCCCAGTATCACTCAGTGTCTGAGGCTACATTTGAACTCAGGTCTTCCTGACTGCAGGGCCAGTGCTCTATCCACTGCAACACCTAGCCTCCCCAGTTTGTCTGCTTTCAATGTGTAATTTAAAATAGACCTTTTAGGAGTAAGTCCAAGGTTCAGTAAAACCGTAGTCCAGTAGTTTGCTGACCTCTGGTGAGATATATCATTTCCAAAGTTTACAGCATATATTTTATGCAAACATACAACTTTTATCCTTTGGGGATTTTTTTGTAGATGACAGATAACAAGCTAGATGCTCTTTATGGCCAGGCTACTCCTTATATTATATATATATTCTATATACATATATATATATAAAATAATGTATCTTTGGAAACCAGTTTAACTCTTTCAGGCCAGTAACTTAACTATTTAGAAAGTTAATGCTTTGGTATACTGAACAGTACAATGATTGACTCATTGAATTCACAAGTAGACATGGTAGGGGGAAAAGCAGTTTTATCTTAACTAGCTATGTGGGAGGATATGGGTAGAAGTAATAGCACCTAGGCATTTAATAACACAATTATTCAAAAATTATGTTCTGTATTGCTTTCTGAGAAATTGGAACATACTAAAATGCTATTTTCCTGGTTTTTATGAAAACTAATTTTTTTTTGTAGAGTAACTATTGAGAATCTTGTTTGTAGATCCCACAGAGTAAAAAAAGTTACCTATATGATGTTATTGGAAAGCTTACAGTAAGATCTCTCTGCCTAAAAAGGTTTTTCTTCCTCCTAGACATCATAGAATCTAAAATTGCATCATTAGAGATCCATTCCTTTGGATTTTATTCCCTTTAGTCCTTTCATAGAATGTAAATACTTCTAAGAGGGGTAACATATTAAACAAATTCACCCTCAAGTGTTTGTGACTTATAAGAAATCACTTCCCCATGATAGGAAGCATTTGATGAACAGTGAAATCGGTCTTTGAAAGCTGGGCTGTTTATTAGCTTCTATTTAACCTTTCTGAGCCTCATCTATAAGATGCATTTCATTGAGTTGTTTTAAAACACCTTGTAAAGCCTTAAAGCACTATATAAATATTAGCTATTATTTGGGAAGAGAAAAGTGGATATTGCTGAGAGATATATGAAGACTTCCCCTAATTAACCTCATTTATTTATAAGGAGATGTGTAGTATATTCAGCTTTTACAAGAAACTGTATCCTTTCTGATACCTTGTCACTTTATAGGTTTGGGGTTTTAAGACCAATCATATAGAAAGTGATTATTTCCCCCATTCATTAGACTTATAAGCAATGTGATAAAATAGAATGGAAGACATGGTACCTGAACTCAATAAAGATATAGGTTAGAATTCTATCTCTAGTATCTACTAGCTATGTCTTCATGGGCAAGTCATTTAATATCTCTGAAACTGTTTCCTAATCCATAAAATTCAGATAAAAGTATTCGTAGAATGTAGTACAGAGGGAGAGAATCAAATGAGATAAAGTATATAAGATGCTTTGAAAACTTTCAAGTGGTAGTCAAATGTCAGCTGTTATTATTATTATTTAGATAATTGTTTATATGTTGGTTCATTGCAAGTAGTAGGGATTATTTGATTTATTTTATTTGTATCCCCACCCAGCATAATGCTGGGCATATAGAAGGCGCTTAATACATGTTAATTGAGTGATTGTAACAAAGTAAAATAGAGCTGTCTGAAAATAGAGTAGACTGCTCTAGGAGGTAGGTACTCCCTCACTAGAGGTCTTCAAGCAGAGGTCAAATGACCACTTCTTGGAAATGTTACAGGTTTACCTGAGACAGTGATTGCCTTTGGATATGTATAGATAAATTAACATAACATATAGTGAATAGAG